GCCTGATACGCCACCAAATCTCACCACGTTGGTGGCATCAGTCTGCTGTGAGACATATGAGAGGGCAGTTGGGTGCATTTTTCAAAAAAGGGTTAGTTCTATTTCTACTCTAATCCTCTCTTCAATGTTGCTACGTGTCTATTGGTGTTATACTCAGTCACATAAGTGAAAGGGAGGAGGTGGGGGGGGGAGGGGGGGGCTCAGGCCATGACCTAAGGTAGACGATAGAAGTTATTAAATCAAGAAAGCCAAGACGAGTACGAACTAGAAAAGACATAAAATTTGAATGTGGAGTGAGACCTGAGTATATGCATTACGAATTGCAAGGTAAACATGCGCAATTACACAACCAAAAGGGCTGAAACATCACGACAAATGCGAGTAAAAATCGATAATGATATTTAGCAAATGCGATTTCAGTATTCTGGGGATCGAATGTAATAACTGCACGCAGTTTAAACAGCCTGCTGAATAATTTGGACATGAATCACTTTTGCTGATCTACTCGTTTTACTTTCCTTTCAAATAGTCTGAAAGCCCCGCAGTTTTCGACTATTCAATAAAAAAAGAGTGTAGAAAATGGATGCGCTCTTGTGGCGAAATGGTCAGTTAATGAAGACAACAAGTGGTCCGGTGGAAAGCGTACTTCACTTTAAAATAATTATAGGGAACCGCACCTCAGCTATGTACCTTTGTAACTCCTCCCCTCCTCCCCCCCTCCTCCCCCCCTACCCACCTTGAAAAACATCTAAAGTTATCAATGTCCCTGCCTATTCATTTTACAACTCTTTTGATGTTTAGAAAAGTTGAACACGCATGTTTACAGTGTGAAGAGAAAAGAGTTCAGCTGCTACCACCCAGATATTTATTTATATCAAATGTTAGGCTTTATGATATTTATCATTAGCTCCTTAGTTAGCTCCTGGCTTCCCATTGTCACTGGGTCTTTGTTGTTGTCTGTTGGGCTGGACACCGTATCAGGTGGGTCTTTTCCATTCCCTTTTGTAGGTCACATATGGGGACATATTAGTTGAGCGTATACTTCTAATCTGTGAAGGTGCGTCACCAGGCAATCGTGCCCAATACACAGTCTAAACTTCGCTTCTCGGCCAGAAGACCATGTTGGAGAGTGCTACTGTCCACTGCTTCTCCTTTGTTCGGGATTTGCGTTATTTAATTATTGATATAAAACTGACTAATCAATATTATTGTTATCACATGTTCAGTCGTTTATTAACTAACTTTTGGTAAAAGTATTAAGTGATACGAATTAAAAATTTCCCCCATTAAACGAGTTCATTTATCAGAGCGGCTTGATGTGTATTACCGCCGCTCATGACAGATGGTGAAAAGCATTTTCTTCAGAGAATTTGAAATAAATGACTAGGAAGAATGATTGAATAAATGAATCGTTTTAAGACAATGCTAGTGAATATCTAACAGTCGGACTAGTTAAGAGATACCTAAACTGTCTTCTTTGATAATGAGTTTGCATAAAGTTGAACTTTCATCCTGAGAGGAAATGGAAAAGCTTTCCCTGTCTGTCAACAAATTCTACTTTTCAAATTCTTCGTATGGAAAGCAATAACTTTTAATCTGTCGCATACTTGATCATTCTAGCAACAGAGAGAAAAATGGCGCCTTTTCAGTAACTAATTCATTGTTTAGTAGTAATCTATTTTCCGTCTTTTTATTACATTTTTATTGGTTCCTTGTTTGTGCTTTAGTTAAATTGGGAGATGGGGATTGAAAGGTACTTTCCCTTGTCATTTGCATATTCCGAACTTTTAAAATACTAAATTTACGCTGTGTATTTGAGCCTTAATGCGTTATTTTTAATAGTTCAGAAAAATCATTTCACGGGTGAAGCGAGTCCTCAATCGACGTAATTCCGCTGTCGGAGGACTCAAGAAAGTGTGAGAGTTATGAAATTTGAAAGCGCATTTTTCGATCAATTATGCACTTTCTTGAGGGTATATAAAGACGGACAACGAAACCAGTCTCCACAGTCTAGAACAAAAAATGGCTTGTGGTTGCGGTTGTGGATGTGGCTGTGGAGGTGGCGGTTGCTGTGGCAACGGATGCTGCTGTGATTGTACCTGTTGCTGCGGTCGATGGTGAGTCATTTTCATAGATTTTTCCCTTGCTTAATTTGCTTTGGAATTATGTTGAAAGTTTGTCCCATATCTGCATTCGAGGTAAACAAGTCCTGAATAATTCACTAGAAGGTGGAACTTTGTGTTTGATAGATTTTTCCCCGATTAACACTTTTGCACATTCAACATTCCAAATTTCAAGAATTAAGTTAGAATTCTTTCGTACAAGCTTCCTATTATGGACTTGAGAGTATTGCAAGTTCAAACCGAGAGAGCATTCTCATAGCCCTCTCTAATGTACTACAGTTAAATTTTTGCAAGAAATATCAAAGCTTCAATTTAAATAATTGCTATTGCCGCTGTAGTGGTCTGAACCACAGAAAATAATAATTTTGAACGTCTCTGGATTACAAAGAGAAATAAGCTGATGATACTTCATTTTGACTGATAAAATTTATTCTAGGTATGCTCTAATGAGAAATTGGATTGTCGAAACGACACAATCACCTTTACCTCAGTAAATTGATTATCTTTTAAACATGATTCTAACTGAAATTATTTCAGATATAACTATTAAATACGATTCAGGTGATGAGCTTCAAAAGAAAAGGTTACTCATTCCGCTACGAAAATGGATTGATTAGTAAGAGGGGTAAATATTTGCGCTTATTTTTAATGCTTACTTCGAAATCGTTGTTCGTGAATACCTATTAACCGGTACTTTTAATCATATTCTTGAAATCAGAACTCCACTAGACTCCAAAATTATCTCTATTGATTGGCTGATCCATTTGCTTTCAGGCGCAATTCATTATGCGAATTGCATTAGCAATCGTTCGATTATCGATTTCCAGATGCCAAGCATAATCAATCTCTCTCTCAATGCGATTTATGAAATTCCAATTTCCATATAAAGTGCAGTGATTTAACAACGCTCCCACGTTCACAGAGAAGTGCTGGAAAAATGACCAATTGAGTTTTAATTAGTTAATCTAATCGGCGAAAAATGGGTCATTTGAAATTACTTAGTCACTGTTGCATTATCAAATCAAGTTTAAACATGTAACTTCTTATCCATTTATTTAAGCAGGCGCTTATAAAACCTACACCATGGAAACCCCTTAAATTAATGAATAATTCGAGATTACATACATGTAGATCTCTTTGTGGATTATGTTTCGTGTTACTCTCAGTTTTTAATCCCTCTATTTAACCCACGATCGTTTCAACATCGCGTGAACTTTTCAATTTCATTTGAAGTCGTTCTATTTTCTTATCCTCTTTATTAAACTCTCGGTCACTAATCCATGGATATCGTGGATGTCAAAGTATCCAGTTAAACAGGTAAAAAATTCGAGCAATTTGATAAATGGAAAATGTACAACCCAATGATTAAAAGGCGCAAAAAATGGAAGTCAAAAATCCTATGAAATAAGACTCTATTCCTCCTGCATCTTCTTTTCGAAATGCCGACTTTATCATTTACTGGCTTTCTGTCAACCCACTTCGATAGGACTCTCGAGATGAAACCCTTCAACAAATTCTATCTTTCTGAGATTCATTCTAAAAGTGTCAATCTCATTACCTTTGAAGTAGCTGACGAGCGACCAAGAAACTTCTTGTGGTTTCAATCATCGTCAAGTCAACCTGGATGTCGAATAAAAACATATAAGAATTCATGACGAAATTCAACTTAATTTTATTTCTAGAAGATAGTAGAGAGGAAGAAAGCACTTAGCATTAGAATCGTTATTCAATCTTCCAGCGGTTTGAAGCAAGAAGTAGACTTTTTCTAGGTATTTTTGTTAAATCCATGAGGAAAACCTACTGAAGTACAAGAGTTCGTTACAAATATCCCCAATAATTAAATGAAAATTCCACGATTCCTAAGTAATTAGAAGATCTAGAATGAAGATTGCTTATTTAGATCAGAGGGACTTGAGGTGACACGAAATCTTTGAGTTTCACCATCTTTTTATAAAAAAAGTTGATATTTTTAAAGTTAAGAACTACAGATTAAGCATGAAATGCTGAATATTTTCAGGGGCCGAGGATGCGGTGGATGTGGACTTGATAACTACGCCTACGATGTTGGACCGGGATGGCACGGATGTGGTTACCAAGGTGGTCATCCTTCATGCTGTTGTTGTGCCGGATGTGGGCAAGGAGGTCGTGGAGCCTTCTGGTAAACAATGGAAAGGCATTTTGTTCGCTAGTTTCTGCTTAAGTGGCGTCAAATAAAATTTGTTACTTGTTATGTGATGAGATTTCGCGAACGAAATAAATCGATAATAAAATGTAAAGCTCTCGAGTGGTAATTG